ATGCTAGTATTTAGGACTAGCATCATTTAAACACCAATGCCTAACTGACCATTGTTATGAGCATTGTTATCACCTCCACTGACTGACTAACTGATGATAGAAATATAACACAGAGTTCAACAAAAAGTATAGCTGTATGTGAATTTGCTGAAGCTAATCTTTTTAGGAGCAAAGATATATTTCATTCGATGTAACAAATATACACATTTTGTTCGATGTAGTGAATAAGCAGAAAAGTACAAAATGTGTTGATTCTGAATACTGAAGTGTCATCTGACTTGCTGAGTTAGGCAACCGGATGAGCCATAGGGCATCTGCTCAAGAGAAGGACAGAGGGACGATAAAATCAGGGAAAAATATATACAGTTGTGGTCAGAAGTTTGTATCCACTCATCATTGGTCATTGGTCAAGGCCAAAATCACTCATTGGTGATTTTGGTCTTTTAATTATTTCATGCACTGTTCTTTTTTCAGCATAGAATAATTACACAGCACACGTCTTTGATGACTTTAAAACTAAAAGTTGTGTGCATAAATTTTAATTTATTTTTCTACATGTCTTTTGACCTAACAAGGTTGAGGCCTGTCAACTTCTTGTTGGTGATGATGATTGACTGCAAGTGCAGCATAAAAGCATTTGGACTGACCAATACTTTGAAAAAAAGTAAAGCCCAAAAAAATCAGTGAAGATCTAAGAAGACAAGTTGTAGATTTACACAAGTTGATTGTTCATATAAGAGGGCAAAATAAAGAGAGCGATTCTTCTAATGTAGATTTTTTTTCTTTTATGAGCTACAGCTCTCACTGCTGTTACTGACAGTTTCTCAACTAGAGTGTGATCAACATCTGCATTTCTGAGTAAAGATTAGAAGGTATTTCAGGGTTCAAATCACGGCCACTAGCATGTGATTTCTTGGCCAGCATCATCTGCCTGATTCCAAGTACAAATTTCGTAAGTAATGCCATGTACGCAGTTTGCAGATTTCTTGCTTCCTCATTTTCATGTTGTGGATGTTACACAGATGTTACAACAGACAGTTTTTCATCATATTGTGTATTAGAAACATTCAGGTTAGTATAGACAAGTTTATTGAGCTTTTACCCTCTTTGATAATTATTCGTTACATTTTTGTGGCATTTTCTTGTTATCACTTCTGAACAAGTTAGTACATTTCAAACAGGCATTTGGGATCAAACATTTTTAGAGATTCAGAACAGTTCCCTTTTTGAGGTTTGGTTTCTCTT